ACAGTAGATGGTGACGATGTTAAGCAGGAAGTTTCTTGTGGTGAAACAGTTTCTTTTAATTTCACCTTGGCGTATTAACCAGTCCTGTGAATGTAAGCGCTGTATATTTTCTGTGATGATTTAAGAGGGGATGGTTTCCTAGGTAATGTATTCTATTGACAAGTGCACAAAAATACAAGTGAATGATGAAGTGCATAACATATGAGCTTCCCCCTCAGCCTTGTGTTTATAAATAACATTAAATTGTACAGTAGAATTACAGACTGTGCCTTGGAAACATTGTGTGTTTTTTCAAAATTAGATGACCACATACTCTACATACCTGTTTTACACCACGTGTAGTCGCTTGCTTGCTTGCTTACTCTGATTGTGTGTTTATGTTGGTTTCTTAACATATTCAGATGCAGCTTGGAACTCATGAAACTATCTCCCCATGCCAAGAGACAAGATTTTGCAATTATAGTTTTAAACCTGTATTTTTTAAGTAGTCTAATCCATATAAATTTGACAGTCTTTGTGCAAGAATTTTCACTCATGATTGCTTTGTTTGAAAGTGAATCTATGATGACTGTCATTGACAAATGATGTTGCACGTGAACAGACTTCATGAATTTCATGTGATGGCCAGCGCATGGCAGGAATTCCCGTACGAGCAGTGGAGCCCAGTAAGTAAGTGTCATGTCTGCCTCGTTGATGGACTGGAGATAATGATACTATGGTGAGATCTTTCTATATATTGTTTCAACTGTCCTTTATTGGTAACCATACTGCAGAGCCATCTACACCGATTGTGACATAAGCTGCAAAAAAAAAAGTTGTATGCCACACAAGAAATTTCTGACTGTGAATCTGAATTTGTTAAGTGATGCATGGCTTTGTGAATAACTAACTGCTATCAGTAGTGAACCAGTGGCTGACTGATAGAAGTAGCTGTCCCCCCCCCCTCCTTTTAAATTTAAAAGACTTTGTAAAGAATGCCTATGATATATTGTGGTTAGCACAGTAAACTCAATAATTATCATGTTGATTTATATTGTAGTTGTTGAATATTGTGTTTGAAATAAAATAATCGATGTTACCGCAGACAATACAGGGGAAGCTGTAAATTGAAGTTCCCAAACAAAGACGTTAGAATGTTTGTGGAGCAAATGGAAAAATGTGAGATATTAAATTTTACTGTAATTGTCTCTTTCAGTTCACCATGGACTGGCTGCAGAACTTGGCAGATAGAATATCTAATAATAATAATTATTATTATTTAATATGTATTATTTTAAATGAATTCCTCGTCTCTTCCCCCCCCCCAATGAAAGATACAACCAATGTGTGTTGCATTTGCATACACATGCACATATTTTAAAGTAAAAAAGTAAATTATGTAACATATATATATATTTATAAATAAATTCAGATTTTATTTCAAAAACTAGGAAGAAGAAAGAAAGAAAGAATATTGGCCTTTATTTGTATTTCCTGTTGCTACAGATTGTTGTTTTTTATGAGTTACAAATTGATCTTCTCGCGTTCATTCTGTAGCATAAATTTTGAATCAGCAGTCTTCATTTATGTAACTCCCAAAGAGATTCTGTTATCATGTATGAATAATACATGTCCGTACCAATGTAGTCATAATTTTACGAATGTTTCTTGTACCGTTTCCATCTTTAGATCTTGCCCAGTGTCCTTGTATACGATTTTATCCCTTCTTGTTTCTTAACAGTCTGTAGAAACTTTATATTTGCTTCTTGTAATATCCTGACATCTCTCTTACTACCAAAATTATGCCAAGAATGTGACAGAGATGATACATTGTCTTATGTGTGTCTGGGAATAGGCAGTATGAGGGAAGTCTTCTTCTGTTTTGTGACCGGCTGTGCCATTCTTAACTGTTCAACACTTTTTAACTTCTCAAAAATAATTACTAGGTTGTTTCATGAAAACTGAATAAGAGAGACATCTATGCCAAAGATAAAACAGCGTTAAATGCTTGAAAGTTCATTGGGGAAGGAATGCATATCATGACATGTAAATGTCTGTAAATTTGTAATTTCAAAATGTGCAAGATAAACTTCTGCATAGCCTATATATCATTTTCCCTAATTTAGGCAAGCAATTTGGTGAATAAGGCAACTGATTAGTCTGAAGTAGTAACAAATATTCTCTTTTATTATTATTTGAAGTTAACTGGCTGTCCACACTGGGAAATTCAGAGCCCTGTGGGTTTCAAGTTGTGCCTGATTATTTTCATATTAATTTTATATCCATAATTATCATTGGTAGCAAAATTATATATAAATTAAATATACAGTATTATATCTGGTAAGGTATTGAGCTAGTTTTGTCAACTAACATGTGCAAATAAAATATTGTTTCCAAAAATTGTAATGAAATCGATTGACAGTTAACAATTCTTTGTTGTTACTGTAATAAATGTTTTTGATGATTTATGTTTGATACTGAAAAAGACCCAACCTTTGACACTAAAAACAATAAATTCTGGGAACAACTTATGATACCTATTTTTCTTAAAATTGATCAGTTTATATGGTGATGTTAGCAGGAATTATGTATTGAAGATTATAGAATTTGCAGACTGATTTGTATCCCTAATCTCCACTATTACAAATTCTGTGTGATTTTGTTGAAGATAATTTTAATTTCACACAATCATCATTTTTGTTACTGTTTACATATAAAAATAAATATTTCATACAGAATTTGTAGGTATGTTTATGATCAATCTCCATGCAAAATTTAACATGCCTAGCTCCAGTGATTCGTAGTTATTAACATCAAATCAAAAGCAAAGAGCGTAGTTCGTGAAGGTGTCATGTTGCTGTTTTATATTCTGCAAAACAATTGCCTTAACAAGAGTTGCATATTTTTTGAAGATCTATTACCACACACATTTTCATGACCCAATGCTAGTTCTCTTGTAGTGGCACTAGTGTCATTCTCACTTCACAAGTTCTTACAGCTGCCATGTTGGTATTATTGATAGAAAAAGATTTAAAAGTTACAAAGGCAATATGGCCTCCAGTGGCTGCAGGCTGTTCATATCAAGTTTCATGAAAATCTGTTGATTTCTTTTGAGGGGACAAATATATGCATATGATGTAAGCCAATTTTCTCTTTTAAAATGAGAAGAATTGGCTTCGAATAGCAGCCTCATAAAAGTCCCTATTCCATTTCAATCTGTATGAAAGGGAAATCTCCATTTCATTATTATGCTAATGAAACATATTTATGCTTGCCAACTCAGAGAAACATTATTATTATGTTAAGATTTGTAATATCTGAAATGCATGAAACCATCAGTCTGTTAAATCTTTCAAATGGTACAAATCTTTGCTGTCTTAAATTTATACTTGTGGTCTGTCACCATAACTGACAGTTTTGCAGTAAAAAATGAGGCAAGATCTACAGAATAAGTGGATAGCTCCAGCCTAATTAATCCATAATTATTTTCTTTTATTTGTGAATGAGCCCGTAACCTTTATTGGCTGTGGGTCACAACTTGTGTTGTTAAGCTAAATCCTTAAACCCCAGAGTTAAAGTCTGACTGGCAGACCCATTGTACTGGAATTAAAATCTATTTTCATGTGAAAATGGTTATAGTGTAAAGTGCTGAAACTGTGTTATCTTTTAGTATCTTCTATACTGAACTGTCATGCAGGTTTCGATATTCTTTTGATTTATATGTTCAATGTAACTTGAAAATTAAACTTGCACGAAGCTGAATGTTGGTACCTTACATTGTCAAGAGATGATGAGACACTTCTTTTCACTTCACTTCAAGTAGGACTGGTTTAAAAGTGATTTTATCTGCTTTGTATCCTGGGAAAGATTTTTAAAATCATGTATTTCCATCAGCGTATGAAACTGAAAGAGAATGTGCATGCAACAGAGAAGTATGATTTAGGACTGTCATATGTGTGCTTGTTTCCTAATTTGTCATATTTTCATTGTTCTCATGGTTCAAAGATGGTTTCTTCTGGGCTGTAGCACCATGTAGTCATCATGATGAGTCATTGCCCTGATGACAGCAGCAAGGATCTCTAAAACAATTATAAACCAGACTTCATTGGTTCTAAAACTCAGAAGACATTCATTTTTGTACTTAGGATTGTTTGATAATTTCCATCTAATCATCATTACAAATATATTCGTTATAGATTAATTTATAATGAGTTATATTTAACCCATTCACATCCGTAAGCATACGTGTGTGCTCCAGTCCACAGTCCATGCAAGTATACTAATGCACAAAGTGTGGAGTGCTCAAAGTGGTTCATGCCACAGTCTACGAATGGTGATATGTTACTACATGATTAATGTTGATGGATTTCTGCAGTTAATTTCGTGCTATACTCTTTCATAAATTCTCTAGGATGCAGGTGACACTTGAAGATCAGTGAAAGTACTTTTTAATAATTCATAGATGAGGCATATTTGTAATAATTATAATCACTTTTAAAAAGGGGTGGTGTCTTAGGGTGGGCTACTTGAAGTGCCAAAAGATGTGGATGGGTTTAATGCAAGTGATGTGTAGGAATTTATCTTTGATGTAATTCATACATATGAAATTTTTATTTTGGATGTAACATAAAGAAACTTCTTATGTTACTTACTAAATATGGCCATTGTTTCTGTCAGTACATGTTAAGTACAGAGGTTTTGATAGATAAAGTGTGTGAAAAGTAGGTCTCATGATTTTGAGGGTATGTGTGTTTACATACTTATTACATTATCATAAATATAAACTTTCTCAGAGTTAAGTTAACCACGCACCTTCCATAATGGAATGAATCTTGAAAATATACAGCATTGAACTTGAGTGTCTTATGTGTAGATATTACCATTTTTACTGAAATTATTGCTTTAGCTATAAATATTCAAATTGGAGATGGTTAATGAGACCATGTGTTGATCATGCTTACGTGAAAATTTTGAAAATTATATTTATGAATTGCCATTCCATCCCTTCCAGATATATGTATACATAAGTGTATATATAATATGTGTGTGTGTTTTCTCCCTACATTCAGAATAATTGAATTAAAAAGTTGTTTATTTGCAGTATGAAATTTACATTGATCAAAGAGTGCCGCAGTTGCCATCAGAGAGCAAAGTTTTCAACATGCAGCTGTATCGATTGTACTTTAGCGTAAAAAATTCTTTCAAACTTTTATATTTTATCCTTTTTTGTTGTTGTTTATTGTCCTATAACAGGAGTCAGGAGTCAGAAACCAGTGGTCCTTGAGCTGCAGGCAACTCTTTCAACATAACTTTTTTTTACTAAATTCTTTGATCCTTTTTTATTTCCATACGGATCTGTGGGTTATAATAGAAAAGTCAGGGCTTATTTATGTAGGGGTTATATAGTGGAACCTCAATATAATGCAGTTTTCGGGGGACAGCTTCAGTACCTGTGTTTTTGTGAAATATGTAATCATGTTGGGGGACATAATCACGTCCGCGGTATAACAAGGCATGGTATATCGAGGATTCACTGTCTTATTGTATTTTATTAACTTGCACAAATTAAATGAAATGTTATATAAACCAGTACAAACGAGGTTGGTGTGAAATCTTTTACTCAATATTACAGAGATAGCTCCTCCGTTAATTGGTTGCTGACCCTTGTCTTATGATGTCATTTACAATAGCTATTTATTTTCTGTATTTTTCATTAACTTCAATGATAACCTTTTTGCGATTAATTATTTGGATGTCTGATTATCTGATAAAAGGCTTTATGTCTTGGAAGTGTTTACCGTTGTTCGATAGACCACATGTACTTGAACCATTTCAGTTCTTTTGTTATTCTCAGATTTATGCCGACAGTTCTGACGAACTTAGGTGTAAAGAAAGAAAAGAAGACTGTTACAGTTTATCATGTGTTCGGATAAGTTAGTTTTGAAGGGTAATGCATGTCAGGGTCTGTTTGACATGTGGAAAATCATGCTCCAGTCTAATGTCATACTGATTTTGGCAATTCTGAAATTCAAGCAAAATAATAGTGCTTGGTAGCATGTCATACTCAAACATCAAAATATACAGAACTAGAGAATTAAATATAATGGAGCTGAATGTTTATAAATAAAATCATATGATATTTTAAACCGTGAATCATACTCTACAGATGGGCTGGCTGATTTACTGTTTTCTCCTTTACTACTGGACACTGATATGAAAAGGACATGTTCTTAGTGACAGGTATTATTCACCAGGAGACAATAATTTAAGAATTATGGGCACATTTACTTTACACTAGAGGGATTTCAGTAAATGTTTATGCCTTTGTTATGGAGAGGAATCTTATGGTGTATAAAATATTTTAATAAAGCAATATTACAAGGATTAGATGGGTGGGGTATACATGGGGAATGTGAGAAGTATGTACAAAATTTTTGTCGGAAATCCTGAAAGAAGAGGCCAGTCAGAAGACCAAAGGTTAATATTAAAATGGAGAAATATAGTGGGAGGGTGTGGACTGATTTCATCTGGCTGAGGATGGGGACTGCCCGTGGACTTCTGTAAACATTACAATGAACCTTTGGGTTTCGTAAAAGATGGGAAATTTCTTGACCAGCTGAGTGCAAAATGAGCTTCTTAAGAAGGACTGTGCACTGTCATGGAGATTGTTACTAGATTCTATATGATTTTCTTTCAAACTCTGGTAGCATATCATTGTCATGTTTGTGACATAACTTTTGTTGTGTGCAACAATTATGATCAGTTTACAGGTGGACATTTATGAACCCCGGAAAGAAACTTGAGCTATGCCAGGACAGCCTTCTATTTACAGAAGTTAGAAGCTAATCATGTACGTTGATACATGAGTATCTAAATGAATTAGCCAAACTTCATAAATAATGTGGTTTTCTTAACTGTTGTGAACCATAATATATTTTTGTAAATAAACCTTCACAGGGCCTAAAATTGTGCTATTAAAATGTCTCAGTCTGTCAATTTGACTAATTTAGAGTTGATGTACTTTGACTTCAATTTCTCAGGTACCATTACCTTTCTCAGGAATTTGGTGCTTGAAGGAAGGGCAGATCTTAATACCATTTCAATTTAATTTATTTTAATATAATGGGTATTGATGAAAAGCTGACTTTCTTAAAAGAATTTGCCATGTGATACTTTGACTTTTATTTCTCTTCAAAATACAACAAAAATTAAATGTGAAAACTTTTACATAAATTATATCAAACTGTAATATGTTATAATTCTTAATGTTACTTTATCTAGTTTATTGTGGCTATTGGAATGGAGTAAATTTCTTTCAATTGTATGTGTTTAAATGTGTTGGTTATTCGTAAGGGATGTAAAACGTATAGCTGAATATTAATTTTGTGGCACACATTCAGAGTAAAGATGTCTTGTTTATAGTTCCCTGTTAGTTAGTATTTAATGACAGACTTGAGTTAGATATTATTCAGCGTAGACTCCAGGTCTAGGAGTGGAAAGAAACAATTTGAGTTGGTTACAACTGCTGTGAACTAGATATAGAATCAAGATTCATTCTTACCTGAATTTCTGGAAGGTAAAATGTTTTACGGTTAGTGGTTTATTATTTGTTTTAAAATTAGAATAGCAATCAAATTTATGTTGTGACAGTTTGTATTCCTGTAACAGGAAATGTACAATATGACCCAGTATAAAGTAGGTAGAAAATTAAATGTTTACTGAATGTAGTATACCTCATAAATTAATTTTACAGTAATATTAACAATCGAAATGATATGTTGAGAGCAAAACAAATATGGCCTGCTTCATGCCAAGGACGTTAAGGGGAAAAGGACTAGCTCCTACTTGTTCTTGACCTTGACCTTGACACTAGGTTAGAGTGAGTGGTCAGTGTCATGCCCTGGCCACTCTTCTTCCTCCAGGGGAAAGATTCCTGGTATCCATTGGATAGGAGATTGTGTGGGCCGCAGAGCTGGTCTGGATGCAGAGGCTGATAGGAAAATCTTTGGACCTCTCAGGATCAAAGCCTGGTCATTCAGTCCATGGTCAAATGCTGTATTGACTGAACTTCCGTAGCTCCTGAGGGCACTTAAGCCATTGTTTAACCGTTATTGGCCATGCATCACGCCTTAGGTCTGGTCCAGCTGACTACCACAGTGAAACTAACACCTGTCTTTGACACAACAAAATGAGTATGTGCGCTCACATTGGTGTCGACTCTTGGGTTGGTTTATACTGGGCTGTAGTGTACTTAAGAGCAATAAGGGAGAAACTTCAGCATGTTTACATACTTTACATTCTCCTGAGTTCCAACCAAGTTATTTATATTAAAAAAAATTGTATTTGGGTGAAATCAGATCAGTGTCTTTAGCTTATCTCCCAATCTCAGACTGGTACTGTATTTTTATGGAGGGGCACTGGTACAATCATCTGGTCGGCAGTAAACACTCTTGAACGTAAGTAAGTAAGTGTGGTGTTCGATGTAAATATCTTCGCTACTAAATTACAGTGTTTATATGAATTATTTCAGTTCTTCCTTCTAGTATGTAATGTGCATTTTGTATATAGCATTTGTATGACCTATTGTGAATGAATTTCCCATATCAAGGAACGGTTACAAAGTGACATCAGAATTCAGCAACTTCAGTATTTTAGTTTTAAGCACAGTATTTGCACAAATAAAAGAAGCCATTGGGGACAATTTTGTTGCTTACTAAATCATCTAAAACAGGTCATGTAAAAGAAAATTTTCTGCAAGTGCCTCTTATGTTAATTGATTTTTAAAACCCTAATCCCCACATTGTAGCATTCCGTGCAAGCTGGCTTCTGTGCAACAGGGTATATTATTAATGACCAAGGGGTTGGATTGTGTTACAGAGAAGTGTACAAAATGAAAGAAAAGACGTTTGTTATTTCATTTGACTATTAAAGGGATTATACTCTGACAATAATGTTGAGTTTGAACTTCAACTCTTTGACCCATTAATTCTCAAGGAATAGGGCAGGGTACTCCTTCCAAGTCCTTTCCTCTTACATCTGAACTGACATTCCAGTATGTGTAATCATAACATTGATATTGCCAGGTTCTGTGTTACAGGTTTTGCAGGAATTGTCAGGCTTTCATAAGAATCGAAAGTAGATGTTCAGGTATTTGCCAAATGTGGTTTATATACAATAACTCTTTATGACAAAGGTACTCGTGATGCTTAGCCAAAATCGAACTTGTATTATAAAACTGCTTTTATTCTAACACCAGCCAAGTGCTGAATTAGAGATAAGCACCTGAGCCAGGGGGGTATGATAATGTGCTGCTTGGTTATCATACACATAATGGAGTGTAGCATGAGTCTACACATGTGTTGTCACCAAATGAGGGGGATGGACATTCTACTTATCCCTTGTGATTCTTCCTGGCCTTTTTTCTCCGCCATCCGTTTTTTTGGTATCGATATACAAATGTGCATGTTTAGTCGTCTACACTGCAGGCAATCAACGATCGTGTTTCATTTTGTTGATTAGTGTGCTTGCTAGGTAGGTTATCTTCGAGTTTCTGTGAACGCTAGGAGGATGTTTTCCACTGCTTGAAATAGAATACCTTCCGTGATTTTGTAGTTTGAACCTGCTCTTTTGGATCGTTGTTTCATCGGTGTAGATAAGGTGCGTGACATTTAGGGGCATTGGTTTGTTCACAGCATACCGGCATATGATTCACACTGTGAGAAGACTGGTGAAGGTCGCGTTATATTTGGTGTATTAAACGCCGCGTGTATTTTGAAATAATTTTAACAGATGAACTAAGTACGTGAAATATTGTTATACAGTTTTAGTAGTTAGTAATACTTTGTGTGCTTGTTAAAACTGATTGAAGACATGATGGTGTATAAATATGAATGAACACGTCAGTTTTAGTCTTAAAATTTCTAGTTATGGTTCTTCTAGAACACCATATACCATCTTGTATGATACTAAAATGCATACTTAATACAGCATTACAATGAAAGAAAGTAGAATAGTATTTAAAAATAAATTAGTTAAGAACAGTGTAGAGTTATGTGGGGAAGGGGAAAAGTTTGTGTCAAATAAGATACGAGGACCTCATCTGCACAGATCATGTTCATAATTGTGTCTGAATTAATCATTTGAATTAGTATGAACTTTTCAAGTGATTGTACCATGTGGTTAAATTTTAGGCAGTGTGTAGAATCTTCAGATAGGCTATTACCAAGAGACAATTTTAAATATAGTAGTTTAGCTGTTGCAGAACAATATTTAACCTTCGCTTTACAACAGAAGTTAGGTTAGTGCAACAGTAAGGTTATAGCTTGCATTCCAAATGTACTGGCTTGGAATATAGGTTAGGTTACCGACTATACTATAATTGTCTTACAGAATTACAATGGAGCCACATGCAGAATCAAGTAAGCTTCTACCCATTCCTCAGACAGTGTAAGTGTAATTCAGCAACAACAAATTATTGAAACAGATATAAATTGTTTATTTTATTGCTAAACACTGCACACATCCAGATTTTATTAAGTCATGTGTTTTTCTTCAACATCTGTTTCTTGGCACATTATCTGTTAGCTTAGTAATACCAACGTAAAATAGAATTGAATTTGAAGATTTCTGTCTTCTGGGTTGTTGCGCTGTGTAGTCTGGTCGATGTTAACCAACGTTTCAGAGGTCATACTGCCTCCGTCATCAGGGCAACAACCCAGAAGACAGAAATCTTCATACTCACCACTGTGAAAACCTCAAATCTTACATAGAATTGAATTTATTTACATCCCATAGATCCTTCATAGACCTAAGCCAAGGATGTCATAGTACAGATACAATACTTTTTTTAAAAACAAATGTAAATTGCATGTAGGATGATTGTCATTTAGCTAAGTAATTTGGTGTGGTGTAATGTGATCTGGTTAGCTTAGCTTAGCTTAGTTTAGTTAGATTGCTTATGACTACTTTTCTTTGGAAAATATTAATTGCTGTCTGTGTGATGTGTTTACAACAAGTGTGCCATTGTTTCAAAGGAAGAGACAATGTTTTTATCTTTATTCATTTTTTTGTATTTGCCCTGAGAAATTATTTTCACACTTTATCCTTTGATGAAAACGAAAATTTCTACAGGTTATGAGGATTGATATTCATATATTTATAGTTAATGGTTGAATTTTATTGATATCAGTTACATAAATTGTTTATAGTAATGCAACTTCAAATTTGGCAGTAAGATTGTCATGAGGCAAGGAGATTATTAAGGGGATTAGGGTTGGGGGAAAGAAACAGAAGAGAGAAATTAAAAACATCTGCAATTTTTCAACAGCTATGCTATAGAAATTTGGTAATGAGCTGCTAAAACAGTATGACCAATGGATAAATATTGTTGCGAGTTGTTCTGAAGTGTATTAAAAATGGATGCATTGGAATAACTCTGTTATTCAGTATAGGTTGCTCAAATTTTGATAGACTAAGTCAGTGGCAAGGAATCCTCTTAAGCACTTAATTAAGTTATTCAACTGTTCAAGAAATACCCAACTTTTATGGAATTTGAATTATAATCAGGCTCTTAAAAGTCTGCCACTGGTCACTGTTTTTCCAAGGACCAGTTCTCTTACAAAGAGACGCAATTCTTGGGTGCTGTTGTTATTCATACAATTTATTTTAAAAAAACATAAATTAAGGTGATGCACTTGGGTCAATTAGCCATAGCGGATGAATCATTGCAGTTCAATGTCAGTATTTGTGGTAGATTTCTCTTTACAATATAATTACCCTTGTCTCTCGTGCTGGCATAGTTTTACCATATTGAATGATACTTTATCAGTGCTAAGAAGTTTGGTGAACCTTAAAGTATGTCATTTTGATGTTTTGTTGTTTTAATTAGTTTATTAAGCCCTAAGCAAGAACTTGGGTAATTGTGTTAATTATTTTGTTTGTTTTTAATTTGTGTTGTTTGTTGCATGGTACCAGACGCTTTACAGGAACAGATGAAAGCAACAGTTCTGAAGTGTTCTGTGAGAAAGTGACAATTGTGCCCAGTTCTGGCCTTCATGAGACTGGTAGTTCAAAAGTAAAATTGAAAAATGTTGTGGACTTCAGTTGGGAGCTCCGATTTTATACAGGACAACTACTTGCTGTTCATGTTGGCGGGAAGTACATAGCATATGGACTAAAAGGCAAGTGAGGTCCATTGTAATGAATATGTGTGACACACTTCACTCATTAGCAATGAATATGTGTCATGTGCTTCACTCGTGATTATGCTGCTACTGGAATATTTGTACAAGATTTATAAAGTGATAGTTCAGGTTCTCGTGGCAATGAGTATGGTGACTATCATCTGGAACGTTGCAGTGCGTAGTCTCGTAGAAGTTTACTGGCATTTTGTAGCAACCTGTTGTATCTGAATTGTAATTAAAGTCTACCAGACTACGCAGTGCAACATCCCTGAAGACATATATCTTCATTCATGATCATCTTTTCAGTTATAATGTCTGTAATGAGCCAGGTATCAATAAGTTAATATTCTTTCTTTCCACCATTTAAGAAATGCAGATTTTTGGATGTATTTTTGGAAAGATATGCTATTTAGATTTAATTTTAATAGATTACTTTATTAGTTGTTGTTTGTACTGAATTATGCTTCTGGTGGAAAAATAACTCCTGATATGAAAGGAGTTTTTTACAGTGATATATTCATTGTTCTTGATAATTTTATGTTTATCAGCGGTAGGCACAAATAACGGAGTTATTCGAGTGGTAAACCGGGAGAGCTCAGAGCGATCACTCCTCAAAGGCATAGAAGGTATGGTGCAGGACATAGCCTTCGCACACATTCCAAACCAAGTCGTATTGGCCTGTGTGGATGAGTATGGAAATCTTCTGGTTCATCAGATAGAAGAGACTAAAGATAAAATGGTGTATCCTTCACGAACTGAATTATATCAACACATGTATACTAATACAGTGGCAGCCAGCTGTAAATTCATAGAGGAAATTTTTACAAGACATTTTTTAATATTCCTTGAAAGATGAATATTTAGTTGGAATTATTATTTTTATTTTGCATAGCCTTGGGTGGCTGGTAGATGGTGCTGAACCTTCAGGATTCATAGCAGTAGATCAATGGTAGTGCAACACAGAAGTACCTCTTATTTGGCAAGTTAGTTGTCCTTTTTGCAAAGGAGAGGCAACTTAAAATGCAATAATCACGTTTCATCATAGATTTAACAAATATAGGGTCAAATATTTGTAACTATTGAAGTAGCTTAAAAGGTTTCAATTAGGTAGGTAGGTCATTGCTTGTTTTGGAAGAGGTGGCATTGATTATTGATATCCTTATGAAGTTCTAGCTGTACATTGCTGCTTCATGTAGAGCAGAACAATGATCGTACAACCAGCAGCAACCACAGGGTTATATGGTGTCCGTATATACCAGAAGAGGAAAACTCTGATGTTACATATGATGATGTTGCCAAATTGCTTGTGTTAACGCATGGTGCTAAGGTGAACAGCTGTTTTTATTCTCATGTTAAGGGAATATCACAGATTGCAGGTGATTTAGAACATAGCACTTGGAGGGGTGGGGGATGAGAGGAAGGTGGGGATAGTTACATAATGAGATTTATAATTTGTACTTTTCGCAAAATACTATTTAGATTGTTAAATTTGGACAATAAGATGTGTAGGACATGCGGCACATGTGGGGAATATGAGAAATGCATACAAAATTTTGATTGGAAGGCCTGAAGAAAGTACACCACTTGAAAGAACTAAGCATAGGTTGGAAGATTATGTTGAAATAGGTCTTGAAAAAATGGGGTTGATTGGATTTATCTAGCTATGGTAGTGACCAGTGATTGGGTCTTGTGAACTTGGTAATGAACCTTCCAATTTCTTGAAAGGTAGCTTTTCAAGAAGAACCATGAGTTAGTTTGTTGCTTGAAATCATAAATGTTATTGTCATATTCTCTTGGAAGATGGTCCCATGAGAGGCTAAAAATGAGATTATGGTATAATATTAAAATAGATCTCATTGCAGTAAGGTTCTTATGATGTGGACTGGATTGAACTTGCACAGGCTTTGGTGTTAATGGTGTTCTTCATTTGGGTTCATTTTCATTCAGTCTGTCTCTGCCCCTGAGAAGCAGTGAGACATTGTCTCTGACCAGATATTTTGATTCATTCTGTATTTTGGATGAGTACAGATTTACCAACTATTCATTCAACAGGCAGAAATGTGGAACGTAGGAATGGTCACCGCAAAACATGGGGTTGGTCCTTTGCAGCCTGAGACTGTTGAGGAAGGATACTTGGAGATCATGGAACACACAGCACCCATTATCGATGCCGCATTTGCTCCAGATGGAACAGCGCTTGCAACAGCAAGTTTGGATGGAAATGTCAAGTTTTTCCAGGTTTACATGCACAATGATAACAAACCGCGGTGTTTGCATCAGTGGCAACCGCATGACGGAAAACCGCTCTCCTCCCTTTTCTTCTTGGACAATCATAAGATGTACAACCCAGAGTATGTATATGTCTATTTATTAAACTAAGAAGTATATTTTATTTTTCTAGCTTATTTCATGTGAGGAGGTAGATGATTTCCATGGTTACAGGCGATTTTTTAATCAGCGAAGTAACAGTTATTTGTTGAAGTGACATACTGTAGTATACAGTTGGCAAATTAGTTTCAGGGGAATCTCAAATTAATACGTAGTGAAAGTAAGAAATTAGATATAATTTTTTTACAGATTTTGACAAGTAGTTGAACATATTGTATTTTTATCTTTAAAAATATTAAAGTTTCTCTCTTGCTTGCTGCCTGTAGGAACAAACATACCAGATCATGAAAAGAAGTAGGTGAAAAAACAGATTTTGATTTTACTTTTATATTTACTTGTGCTGATACTTTCTCTGGCTTCACATTCTTTTATAATAACACCGGTGTTTGAAATGAATGAATTATTTTTTGTTCTCAGAGTGCAGTTCTGGAAGTTTGCAATAACAGGCGCAGAAAATAACTCAGAATTGAAGATCTGGTCGTGTGAATCGTGGACTTGCCTGCAGACCATCAGGTTCACTCCGGAAGTGGGGAAGCAAGATATTGTCCTGAAAGCTGGGTTAGATCTTGGAGCTGGTTATTTGCTTCTCTCAGATATTAACTATAAGGTGAAGAATGCAATTCCATTGTTATTAAAAATAGGCTTCTTGTCTGAAAATGAAATCTGAAGACTTTGTGGCAAATAAGTGGATTGAATGAAGCCGTCTCATGTAATATAATCTGTCAGTATGGGGTAAAAATGTAACATTTCTGAGACTCTGTCGGAACGTGGATTATTCCGCGCCGGCCCAGCCGATCACCCACAAGAATGCCATTACGAGGTTTCTTGTAATTTGACGTAGCCTAAAGGATGAGAATTTCTCCATGAAATTTCAGTAAACATGTACAATATAGTCTGAAATATATGTATCTACATGGAGTAGCTTTCTTGAGAAGCTGATATAGCTTCTTCTTCTTCTTCTATGGCTCTCCGGTCTGTATTCGGTCCATGGCATCCTCAATTCTCATCTTCCATTCGGTCCTCTGTTAGGTCCGTCCGTCCGAGGCTTTGATTGAGGTCTCGAAACATCTTCCTTTTTACGGTGCAAGGTTGTTAGCCTTGCGACCAACCCCCAACCTGGAGGACCAGGGTACCTGTCTTAGTCTGACCTCTCCCCCTCGACCAATCTGGCTAGGGTCACTGAGGTACTGAAGCCCCACCACCACGACAAGGTGCAGGTACCATTAAGTGGGGTGATAAAGCTTTTCGTGGCATAAAATTCCTTATTTTTATAGACATCTTTAGTCTTTTTTGTTATTCACATCGTTGCTTACTATTTATCGTTTAACAATGCTTTGGTTTTAAGACGCTTGTAATTCTTGTTCTCCCTTTATATTGAGAGACTTTGTTTTTCAGCTATACAGGGTGGCAAAATATCTTAAGGGACTTTATTGTTATCAGAAGTAGATGAGATGATGCATGTTTTGTATGTTAATTTGAATTAGTTTTATGTATTTCCTCTTTTTAGTTGCTGTACGTTCTTCAGCTGCACAAGGATCCCTCGGAGACATCGGCTTACGTTTGCTCTGTGTCGGAGTTCCGGTTACCATATCCTATCTTGAGTTTCGGAATTGTTGATGCCGGTCTCAGAAAGTTCAAGAGTAGCAGTTTGGAGGATTTATGCAATGGTATTTAACGGTATATTGTTGTTGCTCCGTATGCTCTTTGCTTGTGTGTTTATTTATTTTGCTGTATCAACTGCTGAGGTACATAGCATCTGGTATATGGTATGATGAATCAGGAGGGAAGTGGGAAGAATTTGTTAACAGTCCCAGGTTTTACGAGGACTGAGGAAAACAATGAAGAATGTCACCTTTGGCTCCTGACAAGGAATCATACTGGGCATTGTCTAAATTTTAATCAGTTGTTTTGTCAATTTTCCAGGTAGATTATTTTTAAATATTTTAATAAACAGGTACTTCTGAGCTCTTCAAGTAACTGGTCACTGAATTGATTTTTTTTTTTGACGTAACATCAGAATGTACAGCTGGGAGTTTTATGCTTGTTGTGTTGCTTGTATTGACTTCAAATACAATCAATACAATATTGATTTAGTGTGTGAGGAAGTCTTCTTTATACTGTTTTTGCTAATGGGAGAAACGTTTAGTGTTTTACTTTGGTGAAGTCTAAGGTTTAAATAAACCAAAAATGTCATGTTAATAAATTTGCCATTTAAACGTGTCTTCTTAGGAATGTAGATAGAGTCTGTGTAGAAAATGCTGGTTTCATGTTTCACAGTGCTTTTTATGAATTCAGATCAATGTAATCAGTCAAGCTTCTGGTTCAAACGCATATGATCATGTTCATTAGTGTTTGTCACGAGACTGTAGGTGTCTCGGAGCTGAGGGCGCAGAGAGCTGGAAGTCACGGTTTGAACGTTTTTAACCAAGTGAGATTTTATGTTCTTGCGGTGTGTCTTCTGGGATGTTGTGCCATGTAGCCTCATAGAAATTGGCCAATATTTCAGGGGTGCTTAGTGTATCCATCGAACAGTTGTGTAGTATCACTTTGTTATCTCAGGAGTGTGTTTACAGAGGATGGGGATGATGAGGCACAGCAGTTTGTTCAAGCGGTGGTCGTGCGGATGTACCTGGTTCAACCTAAATCTCTTCAGGAATGTCACATAGCCTTTCAGCCACCAGCAACATTGGGGGAAGTGGGTCAGAAGCTTAGTACCTTGTCACACGATTCTCTACGTAAGTAGTTCTGTGTTCGTTCAAAGACTGAAATGCTTCCATATTGAAAAGCAGTTGCTTCAGATGGATAGAGTACTGAAGGTGGCATTACTGTTCAGGTTTATTAAGCCATCTTTGTAAAAGTTGCTTAAGGGAAGTTATGCGTGTCCGTCTCTTCATGCGTTTGATCTCCAAAAACTACTCCGGTTCAAATCAAACTTCAACGTATTCTTAAAAGTTGCATACATGATATAAAATATAGATCTCATAAATTACTATGAATTCTGTTTTGGAGAGTATTTTCATGAGGATACCCCCCCCCCCCCCCCCTCTCCCTTTTCATTTTTCTGTTCTGTCCAGTATTCAGAGATGGGTTCTCAGATCTGTCTACAAATGGACTAAGCACATCAGTGGCAGAGCTGGAAGCTGTCGCACCTGATCTGCCGGCCAATCACATGTCGGACACTCAGCAACCAGCAAATATCAATTCTCAGCAGCAGCAGCAGCAAGAACAGCAACAACTGAATCTTATGACTCCTGACGCCTTTAGCTCGCCCGCAAAGAAGGACAGTCCTACAGACATACGGAGCCCGCAGGTCAGTTCAGTGCAGTGTTTTTCAAACTGTTGGCGGTGTAGTAAAATTTAGGGTGTTACTACAGGCTACACATATTCTTCTTCTTCTATGGTTCTCCGGTCCGTATTCGGTCCATGGCTTCCTCAATTCTCCTCTTCCAATCGGTCCTCTGTTAGGTCCGTCTGTCCGAGGCTTTGATCGAGGTTTCGAAACATCTTCCTTTTTACGGTGCGAGGTTGTTAGCCTTGCGACCAACCCCCAACCTGGAGGACCAGAGTACCTGTCTTAGTCCGACCTCTCCCCCTCGACCAATCTGGCTAGGGAGGCCCTACCAGTAGTTGTGCTACCGCCAGCATAGCTTATAGGCTACACATGCGTCTTGAATTTATGCGGAATGTTTGTGGGAAAAGGTCTTGGAGAGTGGTCACTCGGAAGATAGAGGAGATGGCAGACTAACATTAAGATGTATAGTACTTTTCACTGCATGGTACAGCAGTGTAATAGACAAGAAATATTATATTTAATTGAGTGAAGGTGTACAGATCTTGCACAATGCTGCTGGCAAAGGTAACGAGCATGTACTGTGATGTGTTTAACCTCCTTTTCACTTCTAATTAAGTGAAATATCTTCCTTATTACTTAATTTGTAGACACCCTTATGTTGTTAAAATTGCAAAGTGTTTCTAATTTTTTTTATTCTTTACTTGGTTTTTGCAAGCATTCCATACAGCACTTGAAATTTGCTCCTATCACTTGCATGAAGACATTGTAGCTCTAAATGTTGCTTTAGATGTACTGTGTCCACATGCAACAGGCAGTAGCTGTTCTTATAAGTAAGTTAACAGATTTAAGTTCTAATCAAGTTTCTTTCTGGTCTTTGGTTCTCTCTTATGCTTACTCTCATTTCATAAGTTTTTTCTTTAATTTTGCAAGAAAAGTCATTAAAGTTAATTTTTTATTGTGACAGTCACGTAGTAACAGCAGAGGTAATGTTGCCCCCCGTGCCCAAGCACCATGCTGTGATGCTATGTGAGTGTAAGTGGGTATGAAGATAAAGCTCCATGCATTCTTAACCTCAGTATAGATGTATGTGAAAAATCAGCATTTTATTCCTTTATCCGTGGATTAAAATCTGGATTGGGGATTGGGCAGGTGGATGGGAAGATAATATTCCAGCTGGGAATCTTACATCTTACCCCAATTGTCCAGCACGTAGCCTGCCACTTTACGATGATTTTCTGTTTCAATTCAAGTTTAACCGGCAACACGTGGAGGACCCTTGGATAAAAGTCTGTGCAGCTTCTCAGCATGTCGTAAGAGAAAACCCCCGCTCCTTCCTGAACACCGCTTTAAGTTAAATGTGGACATGGAAACTTTTGCTTGAGAACCGCTGCTGTAGTTGCTTTGTTTTTGTTTGTACTGCTTGCTTGAGCTTCTGCAATTTTCAGATATCCCATCATGTGGATACATCACAGCATGTAACAAGGATCTTGGAAGGTTCTATTTCTGGATCTCCTACTGTCATCGGTGTTATAGCGTCATCACCTCTGGATGATGTTTTGGCCCTTACAGGCGGTCAGGCTAAGGTAATTTCTCTGTGCCATAATGAATTTGTATTCCATCAGAGAAAGAACACATTATGATACATGAGAACACACGGTGTTTTAGATGCTGGATTTACGTCTTTCATCAGGTAAAATCGTACAGTCTGATCAATTGCGTCTGTTAGGGATTTAGAAAAATCTTTCCGTTTGACCCGTCTGATTAGATTGGTAGTTTTACCTGATGATAGAAGTAGGGCCAGCTTCATAAGCATTGTGTCTTTATATCAGGAGATGAAAGGATATATCCAAGAATGTCCTTCGCTCTATCTTAGCTACAGAGATAATTCACTCTTTACAGGGGCAGGGCTTCAAAAATATGGTCAGTGACTTGCTTACAGTCAGTATTCTTTAATACTGTTGAAGGAAATCTTGTAAGATTTGAGGTTTTCACAGTGAGTATGAAGATTTCTGTCTTGTGGGTTATTGCACTGTGTAGTCTGGTCGATGTTAACCAATGTTTCAGAGGTCACACTGCCTCCGTCATCAGGGCGATTCTTAGTATGAAGATTTCTGTCTTGTGGGTTATTGCGCTGTGTAGTCTGGTCGATGTTAACCAACGTTTCAGAAGTCATACTGCCTCCGTCATCAGGACGATCCTGTTGACGGAGGCAGTGTGAGATTTTAGGTTCTCACAGCAGTGAAGATGTCAGCGCTGTTCTGTGTTGTGAGACCGCGTGATGTGAAATCAACATTTTGGAGAAACAGGGCTGAAGATCGCGACAGCATGTTTCTCCAAAACATTGCAATATACCTACAAGTACATTATCACAACCCAGGAGAACATGGATATTTTCCAAATTGATTCACCTTTTCTGCAGTTCAATGAACTTTTATAGGCTCGATTTGGATCTGAAGCTTATTGCAACTTCATTAGCCTTTCCATGTCTGTCTGTCTTGACCCCACAAATCTCTGTTGTCACTGGTGCAAAATTCCGTCGAACGTTTCAGAATCATTGTGCTGTCATAATGTTTCAGGTTGTTCCAGTCGTGGATCAGCCTCTGGCTACCTCGGAGCTGCAAGAAGTTTCTGCATTTCAGAGAGAAGGCTTTGCCAGTGGGGGCAGCAGCCCAAGTCGTGAGGTTCAGGAGATTTTGTCGTTGAAAGGTTCAGAACGTCACAGTCATGGTTACTACAGTGATAAGGTTGTGGCTGAAGTTGTTGAATCAGAAATTGAGTGAGTAAATCATTCTTCATTTCACATTATTTTGAAAATCTTTTATTGCTTTACAAATAAGAACTCTGTAAGCTAAGTTTGCTTGTTACATACTATTCTCTGATGTTTTGTGGAATTAATGATTAAGTATTAAGTCCAGTGGCTCATAAAGTGTTGATGTTTTGGAATTTAGGTAGGAGATAACCTGATTTTGAACTCTAATAAATTCTGAATTTTTTTTGGACATTTCCTTTACCTTAAATGCTTCTATTCATGTAGACACAGCAGCAGAAATTATAAATTAATAATTGTACTATTTACTAATCTGTTTGTGTGTGTAGTGTCCACTACCGTAGAGCCTTTCTATGTCATGGGAGCTGAAACATAACCTAAAAATTTTGCATCATCACCATGTTTATAAAATTTTGCACAAAAAGACTATTTCATACAAAATTTGTGGATACATTCATTATTACAAATTTAGTGGTTTGTTGGTTGCAGCCATGAAACAGATTATAAATATGTGTTATGCACTTCTGCCATTTTGTTATTTTATGTGTCACAAAACAATATTATTAATGAAAGTTGCATTTTGTATCAACATCTGTTATTACATAAAATTTAAGAACCCTAAGATTACTTAAGATTTCTGTCTTCTGGGTTGTTGCGCCGTGTAGTCTGGTCGATGCTAACCAACGTTTCAGAGGTCATACTGCCTCCGTCATCAGGGCGATGAATATGATATTCATCGCCCTTCATACTCAACTGCTGTGAAAACCTCAAATCTTACAACCCTACATTAAGTGACATTATTGTTGATTTCACTTCAGAAATTTTGTCATGTTGGTATTATTGAAGAGAGGGAATTGAAAGGTATGAAAGTTATTGTCCTTACTAAGGAGCACACAGATGTTGCATCGTAATGAAATTCATCTTTTTAATGCTGCCTCTGAATGTATGTTTACAAATTCTTGCTGACTGTTTGTTGTTTTATAGTCATTCTGTTGGTAATTTTATTTTGTTGTCTAGATCTCAAGCTGCACCGACAGCAGCAGAAAACCTTCAGTTTGATGCTCTGGTAAAAGGGAAGGACGTGACAAACGTGAAACCGAGCAGACCTGAAACTGATGGGTGGCCACAGATTCCTATCACTTTAGTCAATCAGTTTGGCAAATCTGTTTCTTCAGAAGAAAAACAGACCAAGAGGTAAGCAAAAATTGCTTTGCTGAAACAAGTTCTAAAAGCACTTCATGTAGTCCTTGAGGTTGATCATCACTCGGTTAGTCATAAAATTAATTGTCCTTTATGAACCTGAATGTTTATAAAGTCTTTAAGTTAAAAACATCAGCATAGACCCTAAGTTATGTGTTCTTTCGCGTATTAATATCACACCACAGAGATATTTTTTTAAAGTACTTTGTGATTTTGTGTATGTTCAGAAATGCACCAATACATCTAGATGGAATTGGGGAAAGTGGGGATGGTTTGCATCACAAGCTCTCGGAAGCAAACCAGAAATTGGAGAACACTGTTACTACGCTGGACCACAAGATAAATTCTATTGTTGAGATAATGCAGCAGCATCAGCTGGAAATCAAGGTAATTCATTAGGAAAGTTAAGCTCTTTGTTCAGATGTTTGGGTTAGGTTATTTAATTATTTGTCATAGCTTCAAAAGTTTCAGGACAGAATCAAAAACAGTAGAGATGTCAAAGGTTAGACCGGCAGGCATACGATGTTCCAGTGGAAAGCACACTGCAGGGGAAATTTTGAAGTGGAAAGTTAGATTGCCTTGAGAAGCAAGTTGACCTCAAATGTTGCCGGCCAATGAGGAAGCTGGCAGTGGCATATGGTGCGTAAATCGCGTCCAGCCCCAAACTGTTTGACCAGTGTCACAGATTGAAGGATGGTTGCTAGTTAGAGGATGACCCGTGCGCCAAATTATGATCACTTATAGTGTAGGGATGTTTACAAAAATGTTGGTTGGAATCTTTGCACACAATCCACAGCAACGATCTGACCATGCATCACGTCTGCCAACACACGTTGAGTGGGAGGATGATGGGGAAGTAAGTGGTACTGTTCTGTTTTAAGTTATACTCTTTCATTTGTCTTGAGGGACCAAAGAAATCCCTGTTACGCTAGGGGGGCCCCTGAACTGGAAATCTAATACAAGACCTTCTTATAGAGAAGAAGTAGTTACTCAAGTATGTTATGTTGTTTGACTACTTTGGTTAGATTAGTAAACTTTATAATTACATTGAGTTTAATTGCTTTAATTTATATGAAGAGATATACTGTCTTTAATGGCATGGCAGTCTTACCATAAGTGACTGCATTTTTACTTGTGTCTGAATTAAGTCTTATAACAGATGTTTATCGCATCGTACAGGAGATTTTTAGAATGTAGTTCCTTGTTTGCAGAAGTTGCTTGAGGAAGTAAGTACCATCCGTCAGGCTGTATCCAGAGACCATGCTTCCCCGTCACTTAGTCCACGGATGGAGGCAATAATCATGTCACAACTTGACAAAGCTCTGGTGAAACATCAGCAGCAACACATGGCTTTGTTGGAGGAACTGCTCCTGCAGAGAGAAGACAAAGAACGGAAAAGACAGGAGGCCCTGATGTGTGCCATCTCGCAGGCTGTTGGGAACTTGGTCACGGCAAAACTTGAAGACATCGTTACTGCCGAGATTAAGAACAGCATCATACCAGGCAAGCACATGTCACTCGGCAGTATTTAATCTTACGTAACACATTATCTTAAGTATTTTCTGGTTCATGGACCATTAAAACAGTGTTGGTACCTTTTTCATTGTAAATAAATTATCTTTTATGAGATTTTGATTGTGTTCGTTGTGGATTGTGCTGCTGCAAAGTACAGTGGAGTCTTCACAGGCATTCAGTAACATCAGATGGTCTAAAAAAAGCTGACAGTTCGAGAACTGTGGCTGGTTGCATCAGAAGACTCAATTCAATTTCACCACTGTGGATCTTAACAGTAATCTGTATTATGTTGTTTTTTTTTTCTTTTAGCTCTAGTGTCAACAATGGAACCCCTAAAGCATCAGCTTCATATAGAGATGACGCAGAAGCTGACGTCCACCGACCACCTGCTCAAAGAAAATATAACAAAACTGGTTCATAGTAAGGTAATGATATAAAAGCACTGTCTTCTTAGATTTCATAATGTTTCGTCTTAGCATGTAATAGAAGAATGTGATGATGTATGTGCTCTGCTATCTCACAGTTCTTTGTCGTATACCTCAGACCGCATTGTCGTTCTGTTGGATACGACGGTTTCGCAGCCTGTTTGATATGGCGACATTAAAATATACAGTAGTTTGTCTCATGTTACCCAGTATTATTACTGTAAATTTGTGGATAAAGTATTAATGTTCACTCTTCTTTATACTTTTATATTACGCAGTGCAGTTTATATGAAATTAACGGGTTAGCGGTATTTAAGAAATAATTAATAAATGACGTGCAAAAGATGTAATTTATTATGATTAAAAGTGGCTCTTCTGATAAGTACAGTATATAGCAAATGTAATGTAATACAGAATTAATGAGACAGCAAGAATTTAATGTGACAAATGACAGAAACGCGTTTTAAGCGCTGACCTATAATAACTGAAGTGGTGGAATGAGCTTTGATTCTGCACAAATAATTCTGAGTACTGTTTCTTTTTTTGTAGTCTGTAATGGAGGTGTTGGGTAACTCTGTCGTAACTGCACTTCAGCCCGCTGTACAACATGTATATAAGGAGGTCTTCACCAGTTTAGTGATGCCATCTTTTGAAAAGTCGTGCCAGTCCATGTTTCAGCAAATCAATGAATCATTCTCCAAAGGAACAAAAGAGTGTAAGTTTTCCAGATTCGCTTATTTTTATGTGCCACCATCTCTGTCGGGCCAATGTAATTGCTACTTCGTGTTCTAATTCTCATATTTGTTTTTAGGTATATTTGAAGCTAAAAGTTATTCACTTTGTTTACATTGTGTTATTCTGATTTGGGTGTGCTCACGGTGCTCTTGTAGATATTCAAGCTCTGGAAGGTTACATTGACAAGCAGCGACGGCAGCAGGAGAAGGGACGAGATATTGTAGGCCAAATACAAGTCTTATCTGATTCATTTCGCACAAACCACGACCATCTTACTTCAGCGATACAAGAGGAAGTACGGGCACAAGTTAAGAAAGGATTGACAAGGTACTGAGACTGGATTTTGTTGGCCCAGGACAGGGTCCGGTGGAGGGCTTTGGTTAATTCGGTGATGAACCTTCGAGTTCCGTAAGTCATCTGGTTGGTTGGGTCCACTATTTGGGAAGCCTGAAGGGAAGAGACCGCTGGGGAGATCTAGACGTAGATGGGAGGATAATCTCAGGCGGGATCTATGGGAGATAGGAGTTGAAGGAAACTGGATTTTGTTGGCCCAGGACAGGGTCCGGTGGAGGGCTTTGGTTAATTCGGTGATGAACCTTCGGGTTCGGTAAGCCATCTAGTTAGTTAGTTAGTTTGTGACACTTAGAATTCTGTAGCTGGGAATTATTATCCTGATTTATTTCATTACCAAGAATAATTTGAGCTTGCTAGATGGAACCAGTACTCATTAGTCCACTGACTGATACTGCATCTGCGGGATTTCTTTTATACTTCCTGTTTATTTGTTACTTTGCTTATGTCTTCATCTCTTCATTCAAAAAACAAATAGTAAGGAAATGGTTAATGTAGATACTTTTAATAATTCTTCACCCAAGCTGATGAAAGTTAAATGCATAATGCAGTGTAATACTGTGAACATAATTCAGGTTACTGAAAGTTATGATGTTTTGAGAAGTCTTCAAGTACAATCATATGTTCAGAATCAGGAAGGATAAAGTGGCATATGAACGAACTTACAGTACTCTTATTTGGATTTCTTTTAGCATTCAGGACAGTCTGAACAAGACTGTCTGTGAGGCAGTGAGGGAGAATATAACGAAAGGTTTCCGGGGACAACAAGATGTTATTCAGAACAGCGTGATAACCGCAGTGCGGTCTCGTGCAGTGACGCCTGCACCTCACATTGTTGACTGTCACGTACAGCAGCTACAGATCGAGCAGTTGATCGGTCAAGGCCAGATCAATGCAGCTTTTCAGCAGGTACGTCATGTAACAGCGTTCTTCTCGTAACAATGCTTATTGGACATTTTTCAATAGGTATTCTTGCGCAGTGCGTAAAATGAACTTATAATTGGGATGTCATATCCGAGATTTGAGATTCTCGTGGCACGGTATATTCACGTAGAAATGTCACTTACACTTATATAACAATGCCGTCTTTTTTTACAGGCCCTCTCTGCATCAGATTTAAGTCTTGTGGTGTTCATCTGTGAGAAAGTAAATCCACAACAAGTGTTTAACCAGACTCCATGCCCATTACAGCAGCCTGTGTTGCTGTCGCTAATACAACAGCTCTCTGCCGACATGTCAAATCACACAGAACTGAAGCATAAGTAAGTGATTAAATACAGATTTCAAGTCATGTAAAAATTATTAAATGACATCTTAATGGGTTTCTGGTGTAAGTTATCTGCCAACAAATTCTTAGCATTAATGCTTTGCATGCAGTTTTGGTACTTAAGCACAATGACTGAAATTTCTTTCCTAATTTTAGATATCTGGAAGAAGCAGTGATGAATTTGGATGCAACAAACGTTTTGACAAAAGAACATATGCCAGGAGTTCTCACTAACTTGCAGCGCCAGCTGACGGCATACATCTTAAACAACCCCAATAACAAGATAACTCGCAGCATGAGAATGCTTAGTATGGCAACGCAGTCTCTTCTCAATGGTATTGTATAGCCATTAATTTAGTTTATTTAATACTCCTTTTTTCATCTACATAGGCGATATAATGTCAAGTGGAAATGATGATAAGGAAGGTGGTAGTAGTTGTTTGTTTCAAGATACTATCCAAACATTTGTTTAGTGTTAAAAAAGCCATAAAATATGTTAGTACAGCTGCTGTCTGGGCCAAGCATCAAACCCGGCCATGTCACAGATGGGAAGAAGCGTGAGATTTTAATGCATTTTAATATATTTGTACTTTATATTACTTGACATGATGCTAATGTCATCTGCAGGAACTTGGACATATTCGAGACGAAAATTGTCACACTCCTTCACATTCTATAATAGTATAATTTACTTAATTGATTTAAATTATTTTTACAAATATGTTAATATATTTAGTCGCAATTTTCTTGTGTATTAACGTCCTCCATATTAATGTATTTTATGTTCTGCTTGTTTTACCTTTTATGTTTTTATTGTGTTTGTGTGCTCATTTTGTGCTGTATCTGTAATTGGCCTTCTGGCTGTTGATACACCACACTAATAATAAATAATTGAATTGAATTTGATTTTATGGAGTGTCACTAAATCCAAAAATCATCTGTTTTAGTTCTGAGTGGGTGGTAGAATGAATTAAGCAAGAATGTTCACCCGTGGGAGAGTAAATATTGAATTCTGCTCAGAGAAAAGTCGTCATATTATGATATAAATAATATGTAAGCACAGTAGCATGTCTAACTATATTTCTCCCACTGTGACCTCACATGTTATTATTACATGAAGATACTTACGATGCATAATATCAAATACATCATTGAATATCACGAGACTGCCTGGAACTATAAATTTATGATGGTGCAGTTTACAGATCGGTTTTTATAATTTTCACTAGTACGACGTTAATATTTAGATGTAACCTCATTTTTACCATGTTTAAATATGTCAACATGTGATATTTGTACTGTACGTGAATCTTTCCTTGTGAAACAAGGGATGTAAGCTAAAATCTGGCTGCCAAGATTTGAGGTTAGAAAAAATTCCTTCTAAGCACAGATCAGGACTGTTGAGATTTTTCCATTTTCAAGGTGATGACACTGCATTGTGGTGGGACCAGAGAAGCTTGGCGTAGTGTATGGTATGCTGAGATGGTTGTGTATGTTTTACAGTGCCGTGTACCAAGTAAGCACGTGTATGTTGGAAGTATCTGTTCTGCTCAGCTAGTGTTTGCATTTACATTTGAGCCATTCACGTCTCTGCTGCTTCTCTCTTCACGAACCATGCCGCTCGCGACAAGACACCGTAGCGAAAGAAGAGCAAACACGTGCTGCACTTTACTGTGGTAAACAAATGTTAGTTCTTTCCTGTGAGTCATTTATAAATCTAATTGTTCATATTTCTGAGAAGTTCAGCGTGAAGTCTTGAATATTAGTTACAAATTTTATTCTCCCAAAATTGTGAATTTTATTGGTCAGGTTTACCATATGGCACACGTACAGATATATGTTGTATTTTGGAGACATTGTTTACAATTGATTTTGGGTAAAGTAGGTTTATTACTTGCAACAGTTCATTGTATAAATGGAAACAATTTTAAATATTCAAGACACTTCATGCTTTGAAATAACATGACTTTGGTTGGATAAGCCAGAACATTATTTGTTTTTAATTTTCAATTGTAATATAATCTTTTAAAAAATTAATTTTATTTCATATTCATGGATGTATCCTTCACCATTTAAGTAAGAAAGGTTAAATTTTTTGATTACATGTCTGTAGATAAAACAGCTGCTGAAGTATCACGTAGGTGTACATATAAGCGTCGAATTGCCAGGTCATTAATTAAGAAAAGATGTTAAATTGATTATCAAGTCAAAATACTAGTAGGAAACTTGTTCTGGCATCCGCATCCACAATTTCATCAGTTGTGATACGTAATTGCAGAGAAGGTGCAGTTTGAAGTGGGTCAGGTATCTGCAGGAAACTACCAGCTTAAAGGAAAAAATTATTTTGTATGTATGTACACTTATTAATTTTTTGTAAGAATAAAATATTAAATATGTTCATTTGTACAACTCACAAACTGTATTTTGTCTGACACTAGACTACATCCAGGTCAAACACTAGACAAAATACAAAATATCAGTGGTTGTAATCATCATCATCAAACTCCCCCTGATGAAGAACTGTATCAGTTATTTGCCAATTCTTCTTTCACAAGGGATACCCAATGTTCTTTCACGTGTTTTGGAACTCTAATTCTCTTCCTCTTTTTCATATTTGATGTTTGTGTTTCGTTCTCTTTTGCAGGTTTCTTCTTTTTCTTCTTGCAAGAAAGAGGGTTGGGGCCTCTCTTTTTCTTTCGTTTCTGCATTTCTGCCTGTGGTTCAGGCACACCAAATTTTTTATGTTTTAAGTCAGTGAGGGTATCTTTGTCAAATTTATTCACTTCAAATCTGAAAGAAAGCGTTTTAGATATGTTCAATTAAACTGTAAATAATTATTACTCAAAGTTTCTGTAAACTCACATAAACAACAAACATAAAAAAATCACGAAGTCAGAGTTGACTGCCGAGACTTAGTACCTTCAGTCTATTGCATGTTTGATCTTTTAAGGCAGTGTATCTGAACCGTTGTTGTCCCGTGACTTCGTAAATCTAATTAAAAAGTTTCAAGGCTTCTATTCATTACTGGACTAAAGTGCACAGAGAATTTTATAAAATAATTTGGAAAAACAGAGAACAAAATTTAGCGTGAGTAGGATTTCAGACCTTGATGATGTAGGCAGCAAGGACCTTTGAAACGCTGGATGTGAATTGGTTCGCAATATGGCTCAAAGATAGGCCTTATTGAATATGGTAATGACCTTTTGGATTCAAGAGGTAAGTTTCTTTACCAACTTAACAAAACTATCAGCTTTTCAAATAAAGTGGAGTTTGTTTTGGGGGATGAACATGTAGAAACTATTTTTGTAGGTAGTTTAAATATTTTCACCAACTTTTCATTACTGTTTATCCTAGCCATGCGTGAACTTGCTGCTGAGGGTTGTTCCAGTGTTGGTGCTTTCTGATGCAGGTATAAGAGTGGAGTCCCTGGAATTTTTCGTGCAGTGGCTTGGAGTTCTTTGTCCTGTGTTGCAACAATATACCTGAAATAATAATAAATTCTTCAACTCCTATGTTTTGCTTGAAACAACTATAAACACTGAACAGTCCAGTTACAATACCTGTTTGGATTGTTGACTCCCAACATGGATTCCAAGCATATGGAACCTGGTACAGGCTTATCATTGTGACTGCATCTATGGGTTGCAAACTGCTTGACGATCACCATTGCTCCATAAACACTGTGGCCTGTATAAAGTATAATAGTTGAAGTTAAATGTAGATGAATATGTGGGAATGAAACCAGACTCAAGCAAAGCTCTACAAATATTTATGTTTCTGAGAGTTAAAAAAAATTGAACAACTGCTCCTCAAGCCATAGGTTACTTATTACAGACATGTATCTGTTGAAGCTTCTGAAAGCAAAAAATCTTGCTGAGGTATGTGTGGGATTGACATTTTGTGGTCTCTAGGGAACAGTAGTTCAAGACCACCAACAGAATGTTGTCTTTTTGAAAGTGGCACAAGTTGGTGACATGCAATTTCAAATAATTTGAATAACAAACTAGATTTGACTCAGGTATGTGCTGTTTTCATACAAGTTCATCTGTCCACAATGGTACTACACCAAAAAATGCCATTTTGGAGAAATACTAATGTGCCCTTTTCATTCCCACTTATTCAGATGTTTATAATAAAAATATATTTCTATATGCCATAACAAACAAAAACCAACCTAGTGTTGAGGTTTCGTGTATCACACACTGTGTTGTCAATAATTTTACGTCTCCGTCCAGGTATTTTGGTGTCTGTTCTTTGATGTTAAATTTGTTCTGCAAGGAAAATAATTACTCTGTAACATTTCATTTTTTAATAGTCACTTACAGAAACAATTTTTTTTTCCGTGTTTTTCACATATGGGACTCCAATGGCTAAATTGGTAAACGCACATGCTTAGATGTTTCGTGTGATTAAATTACCTTCAAAGCAGCATAGCAGAATGTCCCATCAATCAGTATTTGGTACGGTTTTCGGAAACCGTAGTTGTTGCTGAAAAAGCTTAGGTATCTATGCACTTTCTTTTGCCTTGAAATTTTCATTTTAACTGGAGAGAGACATAACCTAAACAGATTCAAAACTCCTTTCGGCCACAACGGAATTGAAAATTCAATAAATTTTGGGCTGATTCTGAAGAACAGAAGCCTTCCGCTTTTAAAAGAACAAATCCAACGTAAAGAATTAGTTTATTACATGTTTTGTTGACTAAACAAAATCTGGCCTTGTATTATGTCACTATTGTACGATATAGTTGGTATTAATGTTTGTGATAAATTGGTGAACCTGTGCTTCCACCCCCACCCCCTCCCGGGGTCATCATGTTGATATTGTATTGAATCTATCTTTTCGAGTCATCGAAACACGTGCAAGCAGTTTGTCGATATGTTTTTTCTGTGCTTCTGCCTAAGCGAATTGGAGTCGTGTGTTAGTTTCTGAAGTAACCTGTTGTTATTTAATGTGAAATACATTGCAGTATGGACTTACTCGGTAATGGTAGAGTATCGTTAACAATAGTTGCGTGACGATGTAAACTTTTTCTAACCTAACCTCAACATTATATTTTAATACCTGCGTCTATGGCTCTAACGAAATTTGACGTAAGTGGCACACTGAGTTATGCCAATAAGCTTATGTTAGCACCAATGGTAAGGACTGGAACATTACCCATGAGGTTACTAGCTCTCGATTATGGAGCAGATATTGTGTACTGTGAAGAACTAATAGATTACAAGTTACTGAGGTCAATAAGAAGAGAGAATGGCAAGTACATATCAGTGTATTTTATTGTGTTTTTACCTTTTAGTATATAGGAAACCATTTTGTCGAATCTACAGACGTTTCTGGGAATTGTGAATATTCCATATTGTGATTTAGTGTAAGCCTGTTCATGTCTGTATGCCTGTCCCATCTTTCAACTGAATCGGATTTTCATGTAGTAACTTGAAAATGGCGGGTCATTAATACCAAATGTATGCCATGAGGTATTTGGGTGATGATACCTTATCCATGATCCTCTGTGAATGTTTGATGGCATCTTACTTGATGACATCATTGACCATGTTGGTATGTGCTCGAAAGCATACACCTTTCCAATCTTATTTCATGCTGTGTTGTATTTATATCATAGGCTTTAGGAACTTTAAGTCAGATTTTTATTCTTGTAATTAAAGATCCACCTTCCTTTTCTTTTAGATGTTCTGGGTACTGTCGATTACATAGATAAGTCAGATGGGACTGTTGTTTTCCGAACATGCCAACGTGAAAAGAAGCATGTAGTGCTTCAAATAGGAACGTGTGATCCTGAAAGAGCATTGAAGGTAGCAAAACTTGTGTAAGTGTCAAAGTAGTTGTTAATGTAACATAACTGTATGCAGCCTGCCATTTTTTATGTAGCTGAGTGAAAATTTGGGAATGCCCTTTTCTGAATATTCTTGGATATAATAAATTGATAGTTGTTCATATAGCAAGAGCATTCAGATAACTATGGGGCCAATACACAGTGACATTTTGAAATTGGCCTCTTTAATCTTCGTATGAGTCTACATCAGGCTGAGTTATTCTTAAGACTCTAATAGTATTATTATTACTTCTATAATTCAAATTGCCATTCGATGTTTCTATTATGTCTGTTGTAGTTTTAAGTTCACCTCAGCTGTCATTGCAATATAAAAATCATTTGAAATGATTTTAAGTCTACCATTTTCCTAAATTTTACTCTTTGAAGAATTTTTTCACTGAAAAGGAAGTTGAGGTACCCCGACACCTGCGCTGCTAACAATAATGAGCAATCAAAATGTGTTATGCAGCATTGTATGACACTGGATTAATGTGGATAGTGAATAGGTAAGGATTTGTAAGGATGGTGTTATGGCCTATTTGAAGGTACTGTTCCAGCATTTTCTTAGGGGTGGTGATAATTGTCATGAATAACCTCTATCAGGATAGCTTCCAGCCCATCTTAGGTTTGAACCATTTATCTCCCTAATAGAAACCTCAATGATTACTGGAACTGAGAGGGGAGAAAACTGTGTTGGAACATGAACAAGGATTGTGCTCTGAATATAAGTAATAAATATTTTAAACTGAGCTTTCTTCCAGAACACACCTTTTATTATTCTTTTATCCAGTGTTAAGTTATTTCTGTCAATATTTTTCTACTGTTAGGGAGAATGACGTAGCTGGAATTGACGTCAACATGGGTTGTCCTAAGGAATTTTCTGTGAAAGGTGGAATGGGATCAACACTTCTTAATCAACCAGAGAAAGCACAGGAAATTCTCCAAACTCTTGTGCAGGGTGTAAAGATTCCTATCACATGCAAGATCCGTATTCTTCCTGATAAGGAGAGTACAGTGGAATTGTGCAAGAAATTAGCAAGCTGTGGCATAGCAGCTATAGCTGTGCATGGGCGCACCAAGGATGAACGACCACGTCACATGAACCACAATGATTTCATCAGAGCAGTAGCTCAGAATGTTAATATTCCGGTCATAGCCAAGTAAGCTGACTACCTTCTTGATAATTCTTCATTTCAATCTCACTTTGCTTTTTCTTCATCATCTTTATCTGCTCCTTTTGTGTGCAATCTGTGCAGAATATAATCCTTTCCATGTAGTTTACTCATTTTCTTTCACTCCAAAAATGTACCGACTCCGACCTCCATATAATATCTTAAGAACAATTTCTATAACATGTGAGCCGCCGGCGGCCTAACGCTTAGGAAGATTCAGCGACACATTGAGCCACATATCCTTCCTGGACTCTCCATGACCAAAGAACTTCCGCATAACCTCCCTAGGACCTCTCCGGCACTACTCTAGGACCTCTAGGACTTTTTCCTGGAATTCTCCAGCACTTCTCCAGGATTTCTCCAGAACTTCTCCATTATCACAGAACTTCCATATAACATTTCCAGGACTTCTCCAGCACTACTCTAGGACTAATCCAGGATTTCTCCAGGACATTTCCTGGAATTATCCAGCGCTTCTCCAGGACATCCCCATGACCACCCATTATCTTTCTTGGAAAGTAAATCCAGTTCACAAAAGCCCACCATTACATCCTAATCTTAGGGGAGGCCATATGTGACATTTAATAATATTCTACTATTTTACTTTAAAAGGTTAAGCCATTACCCCAGTTAGAATTCTACTGCTTGTCAGCTTCTGTTGACTGTTTATTCAACATGTTTACAGATTCCTCCCTATTTGGAGTATGTCATCTCTGCCCACACCCCTGTTTTTATTGTTCACTTTCACTAAAACGGTACCAGAATATCATACCATAGTGAATTATGACCTTAAGACATGTTATTGCAAACACATCTAGGATTAGTTATGATAAAACCTAAAGGCTATCTCTCCAGTTGCTTTGTTAGCGACATGATAACGAGCTCTTTCAATACTTTTCATTTTCAGTGGAGGATCAAAGGAGATAGAAAAGTATGAGGACATTGCAAAGTTCCGTGAAGATACAGGGTGCTGCAGCGTGATGCTGGCCCGAGCTGCCCAGTGGAACTGTTCCATATTTCGTCCAGAGGGTATGCGGCCCCTGGATGAGGTAATAGCTGCGTATCTTTGTTATGCGGTGGATTATGATAATGCTCCGGCCAATAGCAAATACTGTGTACAGAACATGCTGAGAGAACTTCAGGAGACGCCACGGGGCAAGAAATTCCTCGAGGCTCAGACTCTGCAACAGATGTGGTATGGCAGCAAATTGCATCTCTGTAGAACTATATTTCATAACATAATTTCTGCTATTGTGTTGTGAAATTAAGGAAATATAAATCTCTGTATCACACAGTTTTCTTTTATTGATTTTTTTTTTGTATTGTGTATATTTGGAAAGTGCTCCAAGTTGGTGGAGTACATCTTTTAACTTATGTATAAAGAGGCTTAAGTTGACGAAAGACTCTAGGGTTACAAGCCGTGCCCAGGCAGAAGAAACGGTTTATTTGCCGTTCAGCCAACCGATGCGGCTTGTAACCCGAGATTCTTTCATCGATCTTTTAACTTATTGTAAGATTGTCTGTGACTTTAATTACAGTTCACTGTGGGATCTGAGTGAGTACTGTTTCAAGAAGCAGCTGGAATTCAAGGAGCGTG